TGTACCCATGTCTTTATAAAACATCATTTTATAACAACGCCCCCAACTTCCCCCCATCCCTACGCAGTGTGAGAATAGCCATATAATTAATATTTTTATGATAAAAAATGCAGCAGAAGGTGTAAAGAAGATGGCGGCGTAGGAGGACGCCGCCCTCGCCCCTCCCGGGAGCAAAACCAAATACACACGCATACAGGTAGCAGTTACTCCTGTGAGACAACCGAGCCCTGAATGACGAGCTTCAGACAACAAACAAGAGAAACAGACGGAGGAGAGAAGCTGGGGAGCCACGGGGAGCCCCCAGGATGGCGGGAACTCTCCGGGGCCTGAGGAGGCCGCTCCGGCCCCTCCACCTCCACAGAGCGGCGGGTGCTCTCCCCGGCCTCGGCCTACCTGCAAGGTCAGCGCAAGGCGGTCCCAGCTACGCGGCCTGGGGCGTTTGGCCTCCACACGAAGGGAGACGCAGGAATGACAGGGCGTCACCTCAGGCACCCGGCCGCCCTGACGAGAGCGGCTCCTCCCGGCAGGCAGTGCGCGGGGCGCCCTGAGCGCATGCTCAGAGCCCACCGGCGGCCCCACACGTCCCGGCACTTAGAGCCGCGCAGAGGCCGCTTCTACACGGACCACTTTCGGTGCAACAAGCCAGAGAGACTGTATGGAGGAGGCTGGGGAGCTGCGGAAACTTACAAAGGACCGTGAGAACTCTCTGGAGCCAGAGGAGGGAGTTGACATCCCCTCCACCTCGAAAGGGCAAACGGGGTTCCATGCAGGGGCTCTGGCCTGCCTGCAAGGTCACGCAGTGTGTTCCAGACACATCGCCGGAGCCCATTTCCGCCCACACAAAAGGACCAGGCGGGACCAAGAGGGCATTACCATGCACACCTGGCCTCCCCACCGGGGATGCCCCTGCTCGTAGGCAGTGTCCCAGATGCCTTAGGCACCAGCTCAGTTCCTACCAGCCTCCCCAAACCACCTGCACACACAGCCCAGACAGAGCCAGCTTCTACATCAGGCCACTTCTCCAAAACTGGCAGAGACAGCTACCGTGTTTCCCCGAAAATAAAACCTAACTGGAAAATACACCCCAGTTAAGATCGCCGGCCAGACATGACTGTATTTGAATAAATGTAGATTTTTGTACATGAATAAATGAACAAAATGCATCTTTTGGAGCAAAAATTAATATAAGATCTGGTCTTATTTTTGGGGAAACATGGTATTTCGTCTAATTCCTATAAGTAAACATAGAAAGTCAAGCAGAATGAAAGGACAGGAGAATATCTCTTAAGTGGACAAACAAAAAAAATCCCCAGAAAAAAATCCTAAGGAAATGGGAATAAGTAATCTGCCTGATACAAAATTCAAAGATATAGTCATAAGGATCCTCACCAAACTTGACAGTGGAATAGAGGAACTTAGAGAAAACTTGAACAAAGAGTTAAAATGTATAAGAAAGGACCAAGCAACCTGAAGACTACAACAACTGAAATGAAAAAACACATTACAAGGAATCAACAACAGATTAGCTAATACAGAAGAATGGAGCATTAACCTAGAGATAGACTAGTGAAAATCAACCTATCAGAACACCAGAAAATAAAGAAATGGTAATTTGTAACGTGATGGAAGTGTTAGCTAGCTATGGTGGTAATTATTTTGCAACATACAAATGTATCAAATCAATACATTGTATACCTTAAACTTACACAACATTATATGTCAATTACATATCAATAAAGATGGGGGAAAAATACAAACAAAAAAGAATACCAGAAAAATAATAATTATTATTATTACTATAAAAAGAAGCTAGTTTCAGAGACCTCTGGGATAACATCAAGCACTCAAACATTTGCATTATAGGGATTCCAGAAGAAGACAGAGAGAAAGAAACAGAAACTTTAGTTAAGGAAATAATGGTTGAAAACTTTCCTAATCTGAGAAAGGAAACAGAAACCCAGGTCCAGGAAGCACAGAGAGTTCCAAACAAAATTAATCCGAAGAGACCCACACCAAGACATGCTATAGTTAAAATGACAAAAAGTTAAGACAATCTTGAAGGAAGCAAAAGAAAAACAAGTTACATACAAAGGGAACCCTATAAGGCCCTCAGCTGATTTTTCATCAGCAACCATACAGCCAGAAGGGAGTGGCAGGAATCTTTAAAGTGCTGAAAGAAAAAACCCTACAACCTAGACTAATTTACCCAGCAAGGTTATTATTTAGAATTGAAGGAGAGAGAAAAAGTTTCCCGGACAAGCAAAAACTAAAGGACTACATCACCATTAAACCAGCTTTACAAGAAATATTAAAGAGTTTTCTTTAAGTAGAAAAGGAAAAGCCATAACCAGAAATAAGAAAATATGAGAAAAGGGAAAAACCTCACAGTTAAAGCCAAATGTTCAATAAATACAGCAAATCAGACATTTAAAAAGCTACTACAAAGGTTAAAAGAAAAAAGTATTAAACTCAAACTACGGTAAGTAGTTAGGAGATACACAACACAAAAGAATTTATGACATCCATAACACAAAGCATGAAGGGAGGAGTAAAAACGTAGTCCTTATAGAATAGATTCAAACTTAAATGCCTATCAGTTTAAAATAGACTGCTAGAGATAAAGAATTATATACATAAACCTCACAGTAACCATAAACCAAAAACCTGCAAAAGATATACAAATAACAAAGAGAAAGGAACCTAAAGAAAACACTACAAATAAACAAATAAAAACAAACAGCAAATCATAAGGGAAGAGGTCAAGATAAGAAGATGACACCTATAAAAACAGCCTAAAACAAGAGCCCCTATACAACTCTGGAAGGCAGCCCCCACCCACCAGCTCCTCCATAACTTCCAAAGCCCCCATCTTAGAACAGAAGCCAGTGAGCTTTTCTTTCTGGAGGTTACACATTGGCGCCTTAACCCAGCCTGAATTTATCATCCTCACTCCTAGAAAGCTTATTTAAGCCAAGCCAGGAAGCCAGCAGTGTTTAGGAGGTGGCTTAGTGGGTCCGGCCTGGGGATGAGAAGGAATCCAGGGCCTGTCAGCTGGACCTGTGTTTAAATCCGCACTCCAGTTCTTCACAGGGAGACCTTATGAAAGTGACTTCAGTATCTCAAGGCCTCAGTTTCCTCATTTGTCACCTGGGAATAACAATCCCTTTAAAAATATATAACCCAGCAGTTTTTCACACGATTAGTTCTCTAATTCTTTTGGAGAGGCCCCAAGATTCTCGAAAAACAATATGGGCTATTTCCCAACCAAAGAGGCAGCCTCCAGGAAATGACCAGATGAGCCTAGAGTGCATATGGAAAAATAGCTAGTCCTCTCTCTCCCG